TCAGCATCCATATTCTGACGCAGCGCATGGGTACCCGTACAGCGATAGAAACGATGTGTCGGGGTACCCACTTCTTCCTTACACCACTGGCAGTCGGGTCTGGTAACACGCCTGTCAATGTACAAAGTGTACAGGGTCGGGTCGCCTCCAACAACAAACCCCGACAGCAGCCTAGCTTTTACATCGCCCTGAGCCCCAGCGCGGTGCCTGAACTCCGCGACCAACGACACCAAGGGCTTGATGAGGGGGAGGCCCCCAACGGCGCCCCAGACTTTACTGCCCACTCTGAGACCCATGGAGACCCAGGTGTCCTGCTGGATAGGCTTGGTAAGAGACCGCTTCCCAACATCCAAGACGTCCACCTGCTTCTTACCTCTGGTGAGCCACTGGTGCCAACTGGGAGCCTCGAGCGTCCTGCCAGGCAAACGATGGGGCCGTCTGCGCCGCCGCAAAAACATGCACGCATCGTCTCCTGCGCAGCCCATCCTTCACGACCTGCACGGCTCCAGGCAATGAGCGGCAAACTATTGGCCTGGTACTCTGGGTCTGAGGCAGGGTTACTGGAAAGCACGGACTCCAACGTTCTACTACGTCCCTTGGCCGTACCGAAGGAAGCGTACGCAAGGGCCGCCCGCAGCCTTTTGATTCGACTATCCGTCATGCCTCTGACACACGTACCATACAGCCTTTCTGGGAGCGCGCCGCCACGGACCACTTTCATCAGGCCGTGGAACGAGCTCCTCAAACTCCTGAATTTCGCAAGCCTAGCTCTGATCTGGCCGAATCTGGAGTTGAGCACCTTCTTGGACTTTAGCCCCTTGGGCCTCATCCCGAAATCGCAGCCGAGGTTCCGAGCGGCATACACGGCCTTAAAGGCCCATCGGTCCAGCCGCCTGGCCACTCCTCGGGCCACTTCCTTACAGGGCGAGACGATTTTCCCCTGGAGTCAGATATGACCAGGCAGAGCTCTTCCAAACACTCGCAGAGGTGGGCCGTCGCATTGCCTAAGCCAACCTGCACAAGCTTTGCGGAGCCTGACATGATCCTCCTCCTTCTCCTCCTCCCCCTCCTCCTCCTCCTCCTCCTCCTCACCCTCCTCCTCCTCTCCTCTTCCTCCTCGCCCTCCTCCTCCTCCTCCTCCTCCTCGTCCTGATTCTCCTCTCGCGCCTGGCGCTGGCGCCCGGGCGCCGAGGAACTGCACACAGGCGCCCCGCCACGCGGCGCAGCGGGGGGCCAGCGCCGCGATGAAGGCTGCCGGGTCACCGGTGGGCGTCCTGCGCGAGGAAGATAAGCACGAGCACAGGGAGGCAGAGGAGGAGGAGGGAGGAGGAGGACGAGGAGGAGGGGGAGGAGGACGAGGACGAGGAGGATACATCAGGGTGGGGACAAGGAGGGAGCAGGACGCCGAGGGGGCACAAGATCATGATCATGATCATGGTGCCGTTGCCGCTGCTGCTGATGAAGCTGTAGCTGGAGCTTCAGCTGAGGATGAAGCTGATGATGCTGCTGCTGCTGCTGCTGATGATGATGATGATGATGATGACGATGACGGTACTGGTGATTCTGGTGATGGTGATTATGATGATGACGATGATGGTGATTACGGTGATGGTGATGGTGCTTATGGTGGTGATTGTGATGGTCATGGTGATGATGATGCTGATGATATGGTGATGATGATGCTTATGATGATGGTGATACAGATGATGATGCTGATGATGATGCTACTGATGATTCTGATGATGCTGATGATGATGATGATGATGATGATGATGATCGCACATCCTCTTGGGACATTTTGTTTCCACGGGTACTGAACTACCTATCATACCCAACGGGGATGAATCACCCGACCCCCACGCCCACCACCAGGCACAAGCACAGCGGGGGAGGGGTGAAGCGAATCAAATTCCGTCCCTGAGGCAGTGGAGTGGATAGAGATTCGAGGATGAGGGGAGGAAGGACGCAGGAGGAGATGGGCCTGGGGGAAGAATCGACTCCAATACGCCTACGCATTGTGCCCGCGACCCCTGATCCACGAGATGCACCACGAGGGTACGTCCTGATACCACTGCGGACGGTTGCGCCCAACGCCGCCACCAGCCGGCGAAATGCGCCAGCTGCATGGAAATCGGAAGCCGGCGCGGCGATGTCCGCTCGCCGCGGCGGTAGATCGCAACGCCTTTGAGCGAGCGCACTATTACCACCGAGGCTGTCGGCCCCGAATCCCACTGGGCTCACTCGTCCAAAGCAGCCGAATATGGAGCACCAGCATCACGCAAAGGGGCGAAATGAAATCCCTCCAGCTCGATGCCACGGCACTGGATTCCGATACTCGCAACAGCGCCTTCAGCACATAGTGGAGTGGCCCAAATCTCATGCAGGCGCAATCGTGTAAGGGATTGCAGGATTCTCAAGAGCAGTGACGCCAATTTTCCAGAATTCCCAAGCTTTCTTGGGCGCTCCTGAAGTACGCCGCGTGGGCCCTGCGAAGCTGAGCCCGCTCAAAACGACCCCAAGAACCCCGAAGAGTCTTTCAATCAACCTCCCCTGAGAATGGCTGCTGCCGCCAAGGAGCTGTGACCCTTCTCACGGCGCGGACTGGGCACCCGTGCAAGCCCGGCGCCACCCGAGGGCAAGCGCTGGAGGCGGGACGGCGGCGCACCGCAAGGATGCGCGAAAAGGATGCGCAGAGGAGAACAAAGCACGGCATATAAGCATACGCTTTCGGAGGTCCGCCTGGCCTACTTGCATCAGCGCTGGACCCCCCTCCTTGGCGCGCGGAGCGCGCCATGGGGCGGCGCCGGAGGCGCCGCCAGGGGGATCCCGACGCCGATCCAAGAAATCCAGGCGGACTGTCAACAGTTTCATATTCATGTTTGCCCTTCTTCGAATGCAAGGGCCTTGGAAGGCCATGTCGACATATTTCGAGCGGGGCGCGGCCAGCGGAAGTGGCCAGGGATGGGCCGAAGGGGAAGGATGCAGGGGGTCACCTTTGAAAGTCGCTCATCCTTACTATTACTTAGCGCTTTGACTGTAGTGCGCATCGTTTCACCGATCCCTATCCCCACTGGCGTGGCCTGGGCCCCACTGGCCGATTTACCCTCCTAGATGTGGATATAGGCTGTTCCCTGCGAGTTTCGAGGGGCATATCCCCAACTGTGGTAGTGTCATGGTGGGGATCGGGATGGGGATAGAGATGGGAATAGGGATCGGTTTAACCATACTGAGATAAGGGGACAGGCTCATGGGGGAAAGCATCGAGCTGGAGTCGGCGATATACCGCCGATAGATCGGAGATATGCCCCTGATGATGAATCCGCACGTTCCCGAGCGGGTGTGGGCTAGCGGGCATCTATTGGCGATGAATGGGCGATTGGAGGCTGATGCATCCCCCCCCCCTGAGCACATCCCCCCTATCGCTGCCCCTGACTTTTCTAGGCAACTCCCACAACACCTAGCGCGAAGCCACCGGACAGCATCGGACCGTGACACATCGGGGCTCTCAGGAAGACCTGGCGGTCCTGGAGGGCGTGTCAGGCGCCGAGGCCGTTCCAGAGCAACTCTAGGACGCTCCAGCGAGCGTTCTGGAGCGCTCTCGAGCGACTCATCCCGGGCCTGGGCCCGTCCGAGTCCCCTCCCGTTCGGGTGCAGTGGGAGCTCGACCACAAGCAACCTTCCACAAGAAACCCAACCCTGAGACCCCGGGACGTCAATTGGTTTTTGGTGTGGCAACGTCACGCTTTCCATAGCGACACCATCGAAACCCAAGACACCCAGGGCACCCCAGAGGCAAGCAGGGTGTTTCTTGGCATGGGTGTGGCGACATCCAAACGGCAAGAAGCATAGAGCCACATGCTGGATGGGCATCGGAACGATGCGGCACTGGAGCAGTCGCAGCAATCACGCCGAGGCTGAAAAGGCAGCGGGATTGCGCCGAGGTTGTCGTGGAGGGGGAAGATGCTGAGGAGAGCGCACCTCCTCACCAGGCCACTTTTCCGTCTTTAAAAAACGCCTCTCCATGTAGCGGGTTCCAGAAACCGTAAGCCCGCATCAAGTGTCACGTCTTGGGTAACCGATGTTTGATTGCGCCTGCCTTCCGCCGAGGAAGAGATACCAACTCCTTCGATCCTCAATGGCGAGGATCTTTGGAAACAGATTTGCTTGCGCCTGCCTTCCGCCGAGGAAGAGATGTCAACTCCTTCGTTCCTCGAAGGCGAGGCCCTTTCTGGAACTGCCTGGAACGCACCCTCTCGCTCCGATCTCGCCCCCGAACGTCCTCTCTTCTGGTTCCAAAAGGGGCGGCCTTTCTTTCCACGCCTCGCGAGCACCAGCTGGTGGCGGGGTCGAACCGTGTTCTAGCCCCGCGGCCGTTCAACAAAAAGGGAGGAAGATGATGAAGACGCGCTCCAGGGGGGGATGATGAGTTGCTCGCTGGCCTGCGTTACAGCCAGGCCTCGCCTGTCCCCCCCGGGGTCTCCTCGCCGCGATGGCGATGATCTCCTCCCGCAACCGCATCACCTCCTGCCGCCGGCGCACCAATCGCAACAGTCTACCTGCACTCCCGTCCCCCCTTGCCCTCCCTGCCTCGTGCCCTCCTCCTCGTCTTCCTCCTCCTCCTCCTCCTCCTTCACCTCCTTCTTCTCCTCCTCCTCCTCCTCCTCCTGCTCCTCCTCCCCTGTCCTCCTCCTCCTCTCCTCCCCTCCCCTGGCTGCGTGTTCTGCCTCCTTCATCTCCTCATCCTACTCCTTTCCTTCTCCTCTTCCCCCTCCTCCTCCTCCTCCTCCTCCTCCTCCTGCTCGTCCTCCTCTTCCTCCTCCTCCTCCTCTTCCTCCTCCTCCTCGTCCTCGTCCTCGTCCTCGTACTCCTCCTTGTCCTCGTCCTCGTCCTCGCCCTCGTCCTTGTCCTCCTCCACCTCCTGCTCCCCCTGCCACCCCTCCTTCTCCTGCGCTCCCCTTCCACCTCCACGCCCGCCCTGTCCTTGCCCCACCCCCACCCTCTCCTGCGCTCCCTCTCCGTCCTTCTCTCTCCCTCTCCCTCCCCACGCCCCTCCACCTCAACCATCCCCCCCCTCGCCCCCCTTGATCTCCCCTCCCTTCCCTCTGACTCTTCCTCCCCCTGCTCCACATCTTCCTCCTCCACCTCCTCCCTCTTCCCCTTCACCGGCCCCTCCTCCTCTTACTACAGGTGTTCCTCCTTCTCCTCCGGCTCCTGCGCCCTCCCCCCTCTCTTCTTCCCCCAGCCCCACTTCGTCCTCCCTCCTCTCCTCCTCCTCCACGTCCTCCTCCGCATCTTCCTCCAACTGCTCCTCTCCCTCCTTCTCGTCCTCCTCCTCGTACTCTTCCTCCTTATCCTCTCCACTTCTCACTCGTCTGGTTCCTCGTGAGGACGCCTCACATGTCGACGCGACTCTCGGCGCGACCCCCTACTGCAACAGGACCTCGCGTGCCCGCACAGGCCGTTAGGAGAAAACTGAGGACTAGGCGAAGGGGGGAAACAATGCTAACGATAACCCCGTGACCAAAACGAGGGAGGGTGTGGATGGAGGGATGAGGGTGGAAGTGGGGCACGGAAACGATGAGGGAAAAAGGTCAGAGGAGGAAACACGGCAATGATGGACATGGTCCTTCGAATTCTCTGGGATGACTATGACCGGTTTTCTTTAAGGAACGCAAGAACTGGATTCACGGAGGCTCGTATGACTTTATCAGAAGTCTTGGGAATGTTGGGATTGCACATTTCCTCCGTGGCATCATACGGCCCCATGACCCGTCCTGAAGCCCTCCTGGGGGCCTCTTGGGCCGTTTTGGAAGCCAAGATCAGCCAACTCCCACGAGGTTTCGTGCATGACAATGGTATTCGAGGTCTTCTGGTTTGGGAGCGTCCAGACGGCTTCCAATATCGCCCCAGGCTGGCTTATCAACCCCCAAGACGGACCCCAAGCAACCCACAAAACTGTCCCAAGAGGGGGGGCGCGAACAGTTCTGTTTGGAGCCCTCAGCCCCATATGTGACCTCCGAGGCTGCCAAGAGGACCCCAATAGACCGCCGAAAACCCAACATGTCCCCAAACAACTTCGAAAACCCACAAGAAGACCGCCATGAAGCCTCGCAAGAGACCGTCAGAGGCCCACAAATGGGAACTGATGGGATGTGTTGCTGTTGCCTCTTCCCTCCCTCCTTCCTCCCTCCCTCCTCCCTCTTACTTCCTGCTTGCCTGAAGTCCCATCCCCCCGCGCGCTACATGGGCCCATCCTTGTGCGAGCGGCGTGACTTAACTTGACTTTCGCCTTGGCGCCGCGCGCAACCGCCTTGCACGCCTTCAAACTGTTATTCAGATGAGTGTGGGTTGTCTTTAACCGTTGCTTTTATTACCGTAACACGATTTCGTCTTGACCATTACGAACAACTACACGGAGGGCTGTTATGTCTGGAAATGCGGCTTTCGCGGTGGCACCTTGCACGCTCGTTTTAAAGCTTCCAACCGTTCGGCGGATGGTTCGTGGCTCTTTTTCGACCTGTGACTCTCGCCGTAGTGCTGGGCGCCTTCGTCTTAATCGTTCCCAACATCCAGATGGTTTGAGGGCGGCTCCTTGTCAACATCGAAGTGTACTTTGGTTCTTCCTCAACTTTCCTGGCCACGACTTGAAGACCGTGCAACAACTGCGCGAGTGGAAGGCGGCTCCGTTCCCAAATCGTGATGACGCTGACCAGCTGCTCGGGTGGAATTGGCCACTGCGCCTTCACGCACAATGTATTGAGCAGGGGCCGACCGTTCCAGCATTCTTATAGGCCTATCACGACATGATATTAGAACGCCCATACGTTCTAAAAAGCAAAACCCAAGTTCTTAGCGTGTAAGCCCGATGTACTACAATAAGACAGTCTGAATCACACATGTTCGAATAACATTTCGAGCAATCCACACACAACATATATCATCATATGGTGGGCCTATAGGCAAGCCTGGACGCTTCGCCACTGTTTGAAAGGAGCACCCTCGAACTCATACAGTTATGCATTCATAGAAGGATTGCCGTCTCGCGCGGCGAAGCGATCTGTGCGCCACGCGTACTCTCCCTGAACTTCTCCACGAACGCGACGACCCTGCAGGCGACCTTCACAGCGGGCGTGCCCTGCCAGCGTCGCCCAGTCGGCTAGCTGGCCAGCTCGGCCGCCAGCGCAGCGCGCGCGCGCGGCGCACTCGCGCTCCTGGTGGGATTCTGAGGGGCCTGGCCCCCTGTGCGCCAAACACTCCTTGGCGCTCTCGGAGTGTGTCGGCGCGCGCCGGGCAAGCTCCAGGGGCTTCGGACTGGGCCGAAGGGGCTCCCGAGACGGTCCGAGAGGGCCTCGAGTCTCCCGAACATCTTCCAAGACGCCCGCGATGGCCTCCACACGGTCCCAGAGGCACCCAATAATGCCCCAAGAGGGCTCCAAGAGGCCCCCTAGGAGGGCTCCGAGACACCCGAATCTTTGATTTCTCATCGTTTCACAGATTTTAGTGTTCTCGGCTTTTCCGGCTTCGAGGAAGTTGCGGCTCAAGAGGAGGCTTGGTAACTACGGGAGCTTGTGCAGGGGATTGCCAGCAGTCACGCCACAAGCGGCCGTGCGGGCCAGAGGACAAAGAGCGTGCCCCTACGCTGGAGGCAGCGAGGTAAAGAGCCAGCCGCGTGCGCCGAGGAGGGGGAGGCGCGGCGGCCGCGGGGCTGGACCCAGCGGGCCCCCAAGCTGGAGGCACCGAGGAGGGGCCCCCGCGGGGCTGGCAAGGAAGGGCTGGGGCCGGCCGAGGCCAGACGTCCCACACTGGAGGCAGCGAGGAATAGGAGGATGAGGGGAGGAGGAGTAGGAGTAGGAGTAGGAGTCAAGCTAGCCAGCTCGAGCGAGTCAAGCATGGCATGCCCAGTCCCACCCGCCCTCCCACAACATAAGAAGCAAAGCTGGCACAACTGGGGGCCGAAGTCACACCGGCCAGCCGGTTTGGTCAGCTGATGCGGCCGCGATGGCGGTTGCCGACGGGAACTGGCGAGCGCGTGTTGAATGCCGCGCACGCATTGCCAGACGAGTCGAGAATGGCCCGGTACACCGCAGGAAGCCAGAGGTGGCCGGTGGAAGCCCGACGGTCTGACAGGACACCCCAAGGGGGCCCAGGAGGCCCCAAGAGGCAGGAGTAGTAGTACCAGTGGTAGTGGTGTTGGTAGTGGTAGTGGTAGTAGTAGTAGTAGTAACAGAAAAAGTAGTGCTATGACAAGTACTTGCAGTACTACTAGTACTAGTATTATTATTATTATTATTATTATTATTATTATTAGTAGTAACAGTAGTAGTAGTAGTAGTTGTTGTTGTTGTTGTTGTAGTAGTGGTAGTAGTAGTAGTAGTAGTAGTAGTAGTAGTAGTAGTAGTAGTAGTAGTAGTAGTAGTAGTAGTAGTAGTAGTAGTAGTAGTAGTAGTAGTAGCAGTAGCAGTAGCAGTAGTAGTAGTTGTAATTGTAGTAGTAGTAGTAGTAGTAGTAGTAGTAGTAGTAGTAGTAGTAGTAGTAGTAGTAGTAGTAGTAGTATTGTCTTTTGCAGATTAGAAACAAGAAAACAAAAACTGTGTATTGTCTTTTGCAGATTAGAATGGGACGGATTGGATGGGCGGGCGCGGGGTGTGCGCCGCGTCCCATTCCTGCCATGCATTTTGCGACGTGGACGACAAAACGTCCATGCGACGGTGCCAATGACGGCGACGACTCTAGAAGGATTTGAGCATGCGCTCGCGGCGACGCGCGCGCCTGTCGCCCGCGTGGTATTTTTTGCACAGGATTCGCGGCCTGGGTGCATGACAGAGCATCGCGAGTGCACCGCGCGATGACGTGAAATCGCTGGATTTGACCGAATTCTTAAGATTCCTATGGTTTTCCTATGATTTCAGCAAGAGAGCCCGGGCGGGAAATTTGTACAATTTTTTGTGAAAAAACATTGGGTTTTTGATGTTTTTATGTTGAAATGCTTGCAAACACACGGTGTTCGGTAGGATTCTGACATGAACGCGCGCGTGTGCTCTTTGTGGTATTTTTTGCAATGGATTATCGCCGTGGACGACAGGACGTCCATGTCGAGAGGAAAAAAAATAAGAAAAGTGATGATTTTGTATTGTTTTTTACAAGTTAGGATGGCCACCCGGATGCGGCCCCTATTGCGGCCTTACTGAGGGGGGAGTAGGAGTAATATTCTAATAATGGAATAAGGATAGTGGTTAGGAGTCAAGCTAGCCAGCTCGAGCGAGTCAAGCTATGACAGGCCCAGTCCCACCCGCCCTCAACACATAACGGCGCCCGGTGCGGCAACTGGGGGCGCGATAGTCGTTGATGTGGAACCGCCTGGTACGCTGATGCGGCCGCGGATGCGGTTTGCCGACGGGAACTGCGAGGCGGTGTTGAATGCCGCGCACGCATTGCCAGACGGTCGAGAATGGCCCGGTACACCGCAGGAAGCCTGAGGTGGCCGAGTCGAGAATGGCCGGGTACACCGCAGGAAGCCAGAGGTGGCCGGAGGAAGCCCGACGGTCTGACAGGACACCCCAAGGGGGCCCAGGAGGCCCCAAGAGGCAGGAGTAGTAGTACCAGTGGTAGTGGTGTTGGTAGTGGTAGTGGTAGTAGTAGTAGTAACAGAAAAAGTAGTGCTATGACAAGTACTTGCAGTACTATTTGTATTAGTAGTATTATTAGTATTATTCGTAGTAGTAGTAGTAGTAGTAGTAGTAGTAGTAGTAGTAGTAATAGTAGTTGTAGTAGTAGTGGTAGTAGTAGTAGTAGTAGTAGTAGTAGTAGAAGTAGTAGTAGTAGTAGTAGTAGTAGTAGTAGTAGTAGTAGTAGTAGTGGTAGTAGTGGTAGTAGTAGTCGTAGTAGTAGTAGTAGTAGTAGTAGTAGTAGTAGTAGTAGTAGTAGTAGTAGTAGTAGTAACAAAAACTGTGTATTGTCTTTTGCAGATTAGAATGGGACGGATTGGATGGGCGGGCGCGGGGTGTGCGCCGCGTCCCATTCCTGCCATGCATTTTGAAACGTGGACGACAGGACGTCCATGCGACGGTGCCAATGACGGCGACGACTCTAGAAGGATTTGAGCATGCGCTCGCGGCGACGCGCGCGCATGTCGCCCGCGTGGTATTTTTTGCACAGGATTCGCGGCCAGGGTGCATGACAGAGCATCGCGAGTGCACCGCGCGATGACGTGAAATCGCTGGATTTGACCGAATTCTTAAGATTCCTATGGTTTTCCTATGATTTTCCTATGGCAAAAGAGCCTGGGCAGGAAATTTGTAGAATTTTTGTGAAAAAAAAAACATTGGGCTTCTGATGTTTTTATGTTGAAATGCTTGCAAACACACGGTGTTCGGTAGGATTCTGACATGAACGCGCGCGTGTGCTCTTTGTGGTATTTTTTGCAATGGATTATCGCCGTGGACGACAGGACGTCCATGTCGAGAGGAAAAAATAAGAAACATGTTGATTTTGTATTGTTTTTTAAAGGTTAGGATGGGACCACCCGGATGCGGCCCCTAATGGCCGGCCTGAGGGGGGAGTAGGAGTATATTCTAATAAGGAATAAGGATAGGAGTAGGAGTAGGAGTAGGAGTCAAGCTAGCCAGCTCGAGCGAGTCAAGCATGACATGCCCAGTCCCACCCGCCCTCCCACAACATAAGAAGCAAAGCTGGCACAACTGGGGGCCGAAGTCACACCGGCCAGCCGGTTTGGTACAGCTGATGCGGCCGCGATGGCGGTTGCCGACGGGAACTGGCGAGCGCGTGTTGAATGCCGCGCACGCATTGCCAGACGAGTCGAGAATGGCCCGGTACACCGCAGGAAGCCAGAGGTGGCCGTGTCGAGAACGGCCCGGTAAGCCGGGTCCCATTCCTGCCATGCATTTGCGACGTGGACGACAGGACGTCCATGCGACGGTGCCAATGACGGCGACGACTCTAGAAGGATTTGAGCATGCGCTCGCGGCGACGCGCGCGCATGTCGCCCGCGTGGTATTTTTTGCACAGGATTCGCGGCCTGGGTGCATGACAGAGCATCGCGAGTGCACCGCGCGATGACGTGAAATCGCTGGATTTGACCGAATTCTTAAGATTCCTATGGTTTTCCTATGATTTCAGCAAGAGAGCCCGGGCAGGAAATGTGTAGTTTTTTGTGAAAAAGCATTGGGTTTTTGATGTTTTTATGTTGAAATGCTTGCAAACACACGGTGTTCGGTAGGATTCTGTCATGAACGCGCGCGTGTGCTCTTTGTGGTATTTTTTGCAATGGATTATCGCCGTGGACGACAGGACGTCCATGTCGAGAGGAAAAAATAAGAAACATTATGATTTTGTATTGTTTTTTACAGGTTAGGATGGGACCACCCGGATGGGGCCCCTATCTGCCGGCCTGAGGGGGGAGTAGGAGTATATTCTAATAAGGAATAAGGATAGGAGGAGGAGGAGGAGGAAAAGGAGGAAAAGGAGGAGGAGAAGGAGGAGGAAGAGGAGGAACAGGAGGAGGAGGCGGTGGATTCGACAACGTAGGCCCGGCCTGCCCATGGCCAACGCGAGGTGGCGAGGCGTGCCGTGCCCGCCCTGGAAGGAGGGGCGGGGCAGAGGGCCGCAGTTGCAGTACAAAGACGCTGCGCGCAGGATGTCGCCAACGGACAGTTTGTGATGTACCGCTTCGCGGATATCTCCGCCTCGCGGTTGTCCAGGTGCGGCCCCACTTAAAACGTGGGAGCTCGAGCGAACGCAGCATAGAACGCAAGATTTTCGTTAGTGGTGCCTGGGTGTGGGTGGGGCCGGTCCTCTCTCCCTTCTTCTCTCTTTCTGTCAACGGCCACTCAGGACTCCAGCCTTTTTTCGGGCCTCGCCCTCCCAAGTACCCTTCCAGGCCTGTTTCGCCCGTTCTGCGGGACAATCGTGTTGTCGCTGCGGGGCAGAAAGCCGCAGCTGCGGCACAAAGACGCTGCGCGCCTGACGTCGCCAAAACAATTGTTATATGCTGGTTCGCGGATATCTCTGCTTCACGGTTATCCAGGGACGACCCTACTTAAGCTGAGTTAGTCCCCGAAAATGTCCCCCGAGACAGCGAGCTGGCTCCAAGAGACCGTCACGAGGCCCTCAGAGGCCCCGAATAAGCTCCAATAGATCTCAAAAGGGCCCCAAGAGGCCCCAAGGAGGACCCCCCAAACTGCCCCAAACAGGCCTTCAACAGGTGTCCCAAGAGACATCTCCAAGGCCTCTGGCCAAAAACCCAAACATGGTGGCGGGTTGGGCCGAAGGCCACCAGATCCGCCGCCCCCTGCTTGCAGGGGTGCACGGCGTGCTGGATGTTTCAGGTTTTGGTTTTGGTTCTTTTTCTAAAAGAACTCCCCAGTGGGCTTCGGCCCGTCCCGCCGGCCACCCGTAATTTTCCCAAAATCCGTCTGTCAATGCCTTTGTTGCCCCAACTTGGCCCAAGATGGCCTCCAAGACGGCCAAGATGGCCCAAGATGGCCTCCAAGATGCCTCCCAGACGGCCAAGATGGCCTCCAAGACGGGTAAGATGGCTCCAAGATGCCTCCAAGACGGCCCAAGATGCCCTCCAAGACGGCCAAGATGGCCCCAAGATGCCTCCAAGATGGCCCAAGAGGCCTCCAAGACGTTCTCCAGGAGAGCCCGAAGAGGCCAAAATCATTGGTTTTCCTTAGGTTTTTGAAGGTTTTTTGCGTTTTCTTCTTTTCGGCCTTCCGACGGCCCAAGAGGCCCCCAAGATCGCCCAAGAGGCCTCCAAGAAGGCCCTATGACGGCCCAAGGGCCCCCCAAGACGGCCCCAAGAGCGCCCCAAGACGGCCCAAGAGGCCTCCAAGACGCCCAACATGGCCTCCAAGACGGCCCTGAAGCGCCCCAAGAGGGCCCCAAGACGGCCCAGAGAGGCCCCCAAGACGGCTCCAGACGGCGTCAGACGGACCAGGAACGCCCTAAGACGGCCAAAGAGACCCCCAGGAAGCCCCCAAAGGCCCCCAAGAGGCCCAAGGAGGCCCCCAAGATGCCTCCAAGAGGCCTCGAAGAGGCCCCCAAGAAGCCCCCAAGGGTGCCCCAAGAGACTCCTAACAACCCTCATCCTCCTACTCTATTTCTTCCTCTTCCTCTTCCTGTTCATAATCATTCTCTCCCATGTGTGCCCCGAAAGCTTTCCAAACCGACTCGGGGAACTCATGGTCCGATAGCTTGGCCAAGCTCTAGTCCAACTTTCGGCCACATCGGCGTTTCCAAAAAGGCAGGGGGCGGCGGTGATTCGCCGTAGGCGTCTTCGATACGTTTCCTGGTCAAGATGGGGCTTTCGCTGCACACTTCCTTCAGCTTTATGCTCCAGCCTCCTACTTCTTTGCGCTCCTTCCAGCTGGAAGGATGACTGGCAGATTTTTCAAAACGATGCGATCGCCTGTGGCGGCCCAGCTGCGTGCTTGTCATTCAAGGGGCGCAGCATCCGTGATGCATCGCAGGTTCACTCTCCTCATCCGCTTCCTCATCCTGCTTCCACTGTTAAAGGGAGCTACCCAAGCCCCTGGTGCCACGAGCCCGACACGCCTGGTGTCGGCCCTCTTACTTCGTACGCACCCGAGCTGAAGAATGGCCTGTTGATGGGAAGGGAGAAAACATGTCAGTTCGTGATTAACAAGAACGTGGGGGGCGTGTGATCAAACCGCTGGTTTCCCTGCTCGGGCGAATCGCGGGGGGGCGCCCGCCAAATTGAACACACACGGCGGCGGCCCCGTTGATTAGCGCCAGCGCCCGGCCGCCAGCCAGAAGGCGACAGGAACAGCACGGACTGGGGGAGAGGGGGGGAGGAGAGGCGAGGCGGGGGGAGAGGCGAAGCGGGGGCAGGCTGATGGGGTGGGGGAGGAGAGGCGGCGAGCGGGCGTGTGAGGGCAGAGGGCGGGGGGGGGGGGAACAGAGTGATGAGGACATCGCGGGGATGAGAACGAAGAGCAGCACGGAGGACGCGCAGGAGGGAGAAGAGGATGAGGATTACCACGAGGAGGACGATGTAGGGCAACGGAATCTATACATATCCACTCCCGAGGTCTGGCCCCTGCTGGGCCCAGGAGCGGTGTATCTGCATCCCTGGCCGAACCAGGAGGGCGTATTTATACACCGCTCCTCGGCCCAGGATGGGCCAGGACTGGGCAATGGACGAATACAGATCCCGTCGCCCTGCGAGAGGGAGAGGAGGGAGACGATGAGCGGTGGCCGAGTCCTGGAGCCGCGTGCAGTCCATCAGAAAGTTCCAAACTTCGGCGTGCTCCTGCTGGCTCTGCGGGCAGCCGGGCAGAGCCATCGGGCCGCCCCCTGCCGCCCGCGAGGCGGAGGATCAGCAGCAGCAGCAGCAGCAGCAACAGCAGAAGCAGCATGAAGGGGGGGTGGGCACGCACACACACATATACACATCTTTATATCTGAGAGAGCGTGATCCACCGCCGCTTTACTGTGGAAAATTGCCAACCTTTTCCTCCGGAACCCGGGGGTCTCCCCCCCCCCCTCCGAAAATCCCGCCCCCCCCCCTTGCCGGAAAACCCCTCCTCCCCTCCCCCCCCCCCTCCCTATCCCGGCAAAACCCCCCCCCTCCCCTTAACCCCTCCCCCCCCCCCCCCCCTCCCCCTCGAAAACGAGGGGGGGTCACTACCGGTTCGAACCCCTCCCCCCCCCCCCCCTCCGGATCCGGAAAACCGGGGGGGGTCATACCGATTGGAACCCCCCCCCCCCCTCGAAAACGGAGGGGGTCACTACCGGTTCGACCCCCCCCCCCACGCACCGCCAGCAAACGACTCCCGGTCCCTACCACCGCTCGCATCACATCCCCCACTGTTGTTCCCAGCACCACTGTCCTCACCACCACTGTCCCCACTGGTTCCACCACCGTCCCTATTGTCCCCACCAATGCCCCCACCACTGTCGCACTGTCCCCACTGTTCCCACAACTGTTCCCACCACGGTTCCACTCTCCCCACTGTCTCCACGGACCCAACCACTGCCTATCCCCATTGTCCCCACTGTCCCACTGACTCCTCCGCTGTCCCACTGAGCTGTCCCACTGTTTCCACCACTGTCCCCACTGTCCCCACCACTGTCCCCACTGTACCTCTGTCCCATTGTCCCACCGCCGTCCTCGCCACCGCCTTTACCAGTGTCTCCACCACCATTGTACCCTCCACTGTCCCAGTGTTTCCACCTCATTCCCACTGTCCCCACACCACTGTCCCCACCACCACCGTTCCCACCACTGTCCACTGTCCCCCCTGTTCCCACCATTGTCCCCACCACTGTCCCCACCACTACCGTCCCCACCACTGTCCCACTGTCCCCCCGCTGTCCCCACCACTGTCCCGCTGTCCCCTCACCACTGTCCCCACCAACACCGTCCCCACCACTGTCCGCACCCCCACTCGGTTTTCGAGGGGGGGAGGGGGGGGGGGGTTCGAACCGGTAGTGACCCCCCCCCCTTTTCATGATGAGCTGGGGGGGGGGGAGGGGTTCGAACCGGTAGTGACCCCCTCCAGTTTTCCGGAGGGGGGGGGGGGGGAGGGGTTCGAACCGGTAGTGACCCCCCCCGGTTTTCCGCCAGCAGCGGTAGAACACGCTCTTTCTTATATCTATATCTATATGTATACGAGCAACTGGCACTTCGATGTTGATGAAATGAGACTGGAAGTATCGTGAGTCATCGGAATGGGGATGCGAACCCGAAAGGCACATGCACTCTGCGGCGTAGATGGTTGCGGGTATAATCGATACTGCGCTAACATCTGAGATGCCATGCCAACCTACTACAAATGACATATGCCACTGAAGCGCTCTGGAATATCGCCCACTTGAAAAGTACAGGTGAAGCAATTGCGAAGCCATGCAAGATGCTGACACATCTGACACAGATCTGGTGGAGGTGCAATAGCACATCGCGCGGGAGACTTCCATATACTGCGTCGAGCTATGTGAACGATACGGACAAGCAGCCGCATGCGATTTCGGAATACTGCGCATTCTATCCGATGTGGTGATACATTGCAACTGGCCGTCGGGAGCAACACCGCGGCCAACACTATGTTACGATAGCGAATCACAATTGCGATACATGATCGTGCACATAATAATCAAGCCAAATAACGGAGAGGAGGGATGCGAGGGTTTGTGATGGGGGAGGGCGGAGGGATATCAAGCTAGGTGCGCTCACACTACATCTGATAACATACCACTCCCACCCATCCCTTCCCCATTGTGTTGAATACTCCTCAGTTTGCTCACCAGGGTGTCCTAGGAGACGTTTGATTCCAATATGGCAGCTGCAGGATTTGAAACACCGTTGGCTGTGCCATGGGCAATGAGGGTGATGATTGTACGTTGGAGTGGGAGGACTATTCATATTCTACACCAGCGCAGCGCGAAGGGGGGATGAGAACACCCCGCAGGGCGTGGGGAGAGACTGGTCGAACGTGTCCCACGAGCATGCAGTAGCAATTAGGCCTGCAGACTGTCTCACACAGTTTTGCCTCCAAGGAGGCGGAGGCATATGATCAGGATGAAAACGAGGAGGCAGAGTGGGCAAGTGGGCAAGGGGAGGGAGGAATGCTATGATGAGCAGGAGCAGGAGCAGGACAACAGATGAGCACGAAATCACATAAAAGGACGAGGAGGAGAAGCAGCGGTAGCAACAGTGTGAACAGGAGGGGCAGGAGGAGTGGGAAGAGCAGGGGAAATCGCAACGAGGGGGCGACAACGACGAAGGAGGAAGCATGATGCCGAAGGTGGCCCGCGCCAGGGGCGAGAGCTCCATCCCGAAGGATAGGAACATGATACCGATCCACATGTGTGAGAGAGAGAGAGAGAGAGAGAGAGAGAGAGAGAGAGCAAGAGAACACAAACAAGAGAGCGAGAGAAAGAGAGGGAGAGAGAGCGAGCACTTCAAGCTCGCTTGCCCTTGAAATTTCCCCCCCCCCACACACACAAATGGGGTCTCGAAGCCTGGGGATCTCCTCCCCGCCCCCGGAACAAATTCCAGAGACCCCCTCCAAAGCAGGGGGGGCGCCCCTGCCGTCCCCGCCCCCCTCCCATGAAAGGGGGCAGGGGAGGAGTCCAGACCATCTCCTGGGCGCCAGACGGGGGGGGGGAGGTTGGGCCCCCTCCCTCCTACTCGCCGTCGGACAACGACGACGACGTCCCAGTCCCCGTCCTCGTCGCCGTCGCCGCCATCGTCGTCGTCGTCGTCGCCGCCATCGTCGTCGCCGTCGTCGTCGTCGTCGTCGTCATCGTCATCGTCGTCGTCATCGTCATCGTCGTCGTCGTCGTCTGCCGGCGGCGAGCGAGCAACAGAAAAGGGGGGGGGGCGTCCGACCCCTCCCGTGCCCCTTTGCTGGGGGGGGGTGGACGCCCGCCTCCTCCCTGTTGCCCGGGGTGGGGGGTGGAGGGGTGCTGGATCCGTGGGAGAGGCGGAGGGGGGAGGAGGCAGGGAGAGGAGGGGAGAGGAGGAGGGGAGAGGAGGAGGAGGCGGGGAGGGGTCGAAGGCGGGGAGAGGAGGCGGGGGAGGGCATCTTGTGTTGGAGATCCCGAGAGGAGGAGGAGGAGGAGGAGGAGGAGGCGGAGAGAGGAGGAGGAGGAGGAGGAGGAGGAGGAGGAGGAGAGAGGAGGAGGAGGTCGGCCCGCCGCCCGTCCTCCCCCGCAGGGCCGAAGGCTAAGGGGGCGCTCACCCAGGGGGGCGCGCGCGCGCGGCACCGCGGGCGGAGCACGCTCGGGCAGAGGCGGCGTTCT